AGCAGCGGCAGCAGCAGCAGCAGCAGCAGCAGCACTTAGCACTTCACCTTGTTGTCGCGTATGCGTGGGGTGGATGGCTGTTTGCTGCTGCTGCAGCAGCAGCTACACACATATATTCTTCCTTGCTGCTGCATGTATATATTTATTTATTTATTTATTTAATTTATTTATTTATTTATTTATTTTCTTTTTATTTAATTAAAAAGAAAATGGTGGCAATTGTTGAGGTCAAGGCAAGAGAAATCTTGGGTAAGTTTTTTCTTATTAAGAGGACTGCAGCAGCAGCAGCAGCAGCAGCAGCAGCAGCAGCAGCAGCAGGAAGAAGAAGAGCAGCAAAAGAAATGGTAGCACATACAGCACCAATAACTATGGGTTGTTGCTGCTGCTTCTTTTGCTGCTCCTCTTCCTGCTGCTGCTGCTCCTGCTGCTGCTTGTGTGTTGTATCGAGGGTGGGGTAATAATGTTCTTTGCTGCTGCTGCTGCTGCTGCTGCACATGTGTCTGTCTTCTTTTCTTCCTTTTATTTCTTATCCTTTTCTTAGTGCATTTATCTGCTGTCTTGCTCCTCTTCGCTGCTGCTGCAGCAGCAACACCAACAGCAGCAGGAGCAGGAGCAGCAATAGTTTAGTGGGGTTTGGAGTGTATATGCAGCTAGCGTGTATAAATAATAGATAATTATGTGTCTTTTTTTTCGGGTGTATAGGCAGCTAATGTGTGTATATAAATGTGTACATATAATTCCGGTGTATAGGCATCTTTGTACTAAACATATATATTCATATACATACATATATATTTGTATATTTATATATATTATTTATTTATATATATTAATTTATATATATAAAGTAAAATATATATATTGGGGTGTATATGCAACTATGATATAAATGTGTGCAATAGCTGCCTATACACCCGAAAACATGCATAATGAATATATAAATAAAATATTGAATTTTTAATGATTTAAGAGATAAAAAAGGGTATAATAATAAAAAAAAGTATAAAATAATAAAATAAATAATAAAATAATATATATATATTTATATGTATATGTACAGATTCTCGTGGTAACCCAACAGTAGAGGTAGACGTAAAGACGGAGCAAGGATGCTTTCGTGCTGCTGTACCCTCTGGGGCATCAACAGGAATATATGAGGCATTAGAGTTAAGAGATGGAGATAAAAAAAGATTCAATGGAAAGGGTAAGAGTATTTATTTATTTATTTATTTATTTTATTTATTATATTTATTTATTTTATTCTTATTTGTTTTATTCTCTATTTATTGATATATGTATATATGTATACATATATATACATATACATATATAGATATATGTATATATATACATAGAAATATGCGCAATCTGTGATTCTTTTTGCTGTTGGTGCTGCACCTACCTGTGCTGCTGCTGCTGCTGCTGCTGGATGTATATCTGCTGCTGTTGCTGTTGCTGCATTTATTGTTGTATATATAGGTGTATTAAAGGCAGTAGAGAATGTGAATAAGATAATAGGTCCAGCATTAATAGGAAAAGATTGTCTTAATCAGGAAGAAATAGATAATTTAATGACAAAAGAATTAGATGGTACTAAGACTGAATGGGGATATACAAAGAATAAATTAGGGGCTAATGCTATATTAGCTGTATCTATGGCTGTATGTAGGGCAGGAGCAGCAGCAGCAGGTGTCCCCTTATATAAGTATATATCCTTATTAAAGGATGGTAAGACAGGATCAGCAGCAGCAGCAGCAGCAGCAGCAGCAGGAGGAGGTAATGAGGAATATATTATGCCTGTTCCTTGTTTTAATGTTATTAATGGGGGTAAGCATGCAGGGAATAAATTAGCTATGCAAGAATTCATGATTGCCCCTACAGGGGCAAATAGTATAAGAGAAGGTATACGTATAGGTGCAGAGGTATATGCATATCTACATAAATGTATACAAAAAAAGTATGGATTAGATGCAACAAATGTAGGGGATGAGGGAGGATTTGCCCCTAATATTAAGGACCCTAAGGAGGCAATGGATCTATTAATACAGGCTATTAAGGAGGCAGGACATGAGGGAAAAGTACGAATAATGACGGACATTGCTGCCTCGGAGTTCTATAACCAAGACAAGAAGACATACGATCTAGA